ATATTTCATATTAAATGGCATTTCTATCGAATTTAAAAATAACAACGTTTCGTTGGATACTTTGCGACTAGCTTGTATATGAGTTAACTTAGTCAGTAAAAGAATTCTATATTTTTAATTATATTTGTGGCCAACTTCATCATGTCGCTTTTTTGGGACATCATGCGCGCGCAGCTCACAAATTTCACTCTCATCCAAACGCGCCAAAAGAAGTATAACTTCAAAAAAGGGAAGCTACTTGAGCACGGAACAAATTTGTAGGAAAAATTACAATTATTCCATCGTAATTCGGGACCAGACTTTCAATATTTTCACTTTCATAATTTTATATTTCAAAATGTACTGTGACATCGTAAAACTTTATATATTGACTACTTTTATACACATTTTGATAGTAAACATCGCAAATTTAAAAATAGAAAATTATGAAAGTGGAGGTTTGAGAGTCTGGTCCTGAATTACGACGGAACAATTGTAATTTTTTCGACAGTTTTTTTTCTGTATAGAGTTGATATCGAGCTGCGATGTGACGAGAGTTTTTTCACTTAAATAGTTAATAAAAAAAATTATTTTTTTATTTAAAGTACTCTACGTAAATATGTTAAACTTATAACAGCTTCCCTGATAGCCATGCTAACTAAAACTAACAGAAAGACAACGTAAACTTTATAATAATTTTACTAAAATACTGAACTACATGTTCTTGAGCAGAAATTGAGACTATCAGGGTTATTATATACATAAAATTTTTCAAGATATTAAACTATAAAATTAACGATCATTTTATTATTAAATAGAAATGTGATGCCATGGACATTTTTCAACTCACAAAATAAAGAAAGTGATAAAAAAACCGTTGGTCACGGTTCATGTTCACCTTTGCTGTCAAATAGTCGCACTTCTCCAGTAGCTGTTCCTATTCCTGGACGCTTTCGACAACGCAACGAATCTTCATCTTCCGCTGGTTCTTGGCAAATGATTTCAGGAACGGGTAGCTTACGAGGGTCAACAACCTCCAATTGTGCACTACCGGAATTTCTATCCGCCTCTACACTAACTTGTAAATCACAGTGCATAACTTGTTCTGGTCAAACTTCTCAAGAATCAAGCGTAACAGTGATTGAAGATGATTCAGCTCTGTCTTCAGCCCAGTAATATTTTACACATACTTAAAAAATAGATAAATAATCAAATAATAAGCTATTTCTAAGCAATGATATAACTATTTTAGATCACGTAAAGATAGACTACACAGCGTTCGGACATTGTTTTATAATATTTACAGCCATACAGTTGGATTTAGAATGAAAGAAAATTCGGAATCTAGTGGATTCGGCCAATTATTGGGGAATTTTGCTGAAAAAGTAGGTATATTATCGGTGCAACGTACGTCATTATGACCTTAAATTATGATAAAGGGCTTTATATTATTATTATTATATAAAATTGAATTGTTTAAATTGGTTCATATTAAATTTTTCACTAATATGAAATGAATGGTGGATGAGATTAAATTTTTAAAGTAAATAGAATGCAACTTTATAAATTTGATGTATACCTGTACAATAAATTAAACTTAATATTTTTCATATATATTTCATTGTAAACTTATGCATACCTTTTTTCATTACTTTGTTATATTAACCGAGTTCAAATACACCAGTCACACATATTGAGGGATCAAAGAAGTTCGAAACTTTTAGGTGACTTTCTACAGGCTGAAGATTAGTTTCGTAAGAAATATTCATGTAGGAAATTCAAAAAGAAAAAAAAATTAGAAAAATGTTGATCTTACAGGCCAATCCTGTAACTTTCCACAATTTTCGAGCTTAAAATGCTTAATTTTACAATCATACTTATTTAACGATGGAATTTTTTTATTCAAAAATCGTAAAATAGTCCTTTAATCATTTATTTCTTTGTATAAGACCCAACAGCCCATTCATTTATTTAATAAGCTTAACGAATCTCGAATACGTGCACAGAAAAAAAAGTCATCTTGACTCAAGAAAATTATTTTCTTCAAAATTTATTTCTTGTTTCAAGTTATTCTGCTATCTTAGTTGAAAAAATTTATTCTTGAACTAATAATGTCATATACTTATCCAAAGTAAATCTTTCTCTTGGTTTGAGAAAGTAGTGCCAACGTTGGCGACGTGATTTTTTGGAACTAAACCGAGAATTTTTTAATAAAGAATTAAATTTATAAAAATAACCTTATGCATGATTTTTAGTAGATTTCATAGAAATCTAACTATTGCATTGGTCCTCATGACGGAACTATCGAAAAATTTTGCTATATTTCGACTCAGCTCGTCAAGCGGATTCAGAAAATGCATATGGTTCAAAAGTTTATATATGTATGTATTTATATATATTGAAACACTGAACTTTTTGTTTACTTAAAAAATCCAATTACTTAAGTCATCAAGTCCTTGCGGATAGGTAAATGATCACTTAAGCTTCGTTTAATTGGGATACGCTGTTCGGGGATTTTCCGCTCCCTGATTTATATGTATTAATTCTTATTAATAATTTTATTGTTTGGCAAAAGTTCTCACGTGTGCCAGTTATAATTGCTTTATTTACTTACAATGCTCTGCGTCCTTGATTGACCCTTTCGGTTGAATAAAACGATCATAGCAAACCCTGCTGAAAAGACCTCATAGAATGTCATAGAAAAAAAAAAATATTCTATAAGATTTTATGATTTACTAATATACGTATGAGCCAGAGAAAATTTTCTCTCAAATATTTTATGATATTCTATTAGTAGATCGTCAACTCATAGATTCTCATAAAAGTTTTACTTCTTAGTTGTTATGAGATTTTATGAGTAGTTTCATTAATTACTAATATTCATTAGATTTTATGAGAACTTCGAGATTAAACTTCAAGTAGCATTTCTATGCGATTTTATGTGAAAAATTGAAAGAAAAGTACCTCATAAGAAGTTATAAACAATTTATAAGAAATCGTGACCAGTATTGCAATTGAAATTCTTATGACTATTTATGAGTATTTCCGTGGACAAATACACATCAAAGTGTACTGAAACTTATCATATTCTATGCGTTAAAAAAGCCCGGAATTCAGTATAAAATCCCATAAAATACCATTTTTGGATCACTTTACAATATATTGTTATGTTGTGATGTACTATGACTAAAAAATTGTTAATCAGTTATACTTATTGAAAAAAAACTAAAGATTTGAAATGTCTAATTTAAAAAAAAAATTTTTTTTTTAATCATTGAATTATATAATCGTTTATTAGAATGATGAAATCTAGTAAAAATTTTTTTTTAATTTTTCTTTTTATTAAAAAAAAAATTTATTTTTACTTGTCATACTTTTTGATAACCACAAACAGTCGAATTCATTATACAGTGTTCTCGTAGAGCAAGATATTTTAGCTCTGTTTTTATTTTTCCATAAGCCACTAATCAGATAAAGAAAGATAATTTATTACATCTTAAAGAGTGAGCGCTGCAGTGAAATTAAAGTACACTAGTAGTTCTCGCTGCGCCCTTTGGGCGCCCGAATACATCATAAAAATTATTATACCAAACATTTAAAAAAGATAAGGATAACTTGTAGTAAAAAATTCGCTTTTATTTACTCACTGATATTTTTCCTTTATTCATAATATTCCTTTATTCTAATTATAAACTTTGTACTTTTATGAAATTCTTAATTTCTTAATTAAATCCTTAATCATATATTTGTTAATTCTTAATTTTCATAAGAATTGATTAATCAAATAAGATAATTTTCATATGAATTGATTAATCAAATAACATAATAAATTTTTTTTATGTATAATATTAAATATTATATCTCTTAACTTAATTTACGTTGTAACATCATTTAAAGTATTTAAATTTAAAAGTGTCTATTCACACATAAAAAAGTCCTGATAAATCCACACCGCGTGAATGCAAGGGCGTTTACATTCACGTAGCGTGGATTCAAGGCCCTTACATTGACGGGGTGTGAATGTCAGGAATTTTTTAAGTGTAGATAGATATGTCCAAAACTTTTAATGTTTTTCTTAGAAAAATATGACAACTTTAGTAATAATTATGACTTTAATTTTTATATTAAAAAATAAATAATATATTATCATGCTCATTATAAGTGAATTATTTTAAATATTATTATAAATAATATCACAAATGATATATTACTACTTAAATACGAATCACTTACAAAATGTGATATATATTTATGGCACTTGATACTGAATTTAACTGATAAGATAAATGATGATTATTGTTTTGCTTAAATTATTTTGATAGTTTTTAAAAAATACTTTTCACATTAACGAAAGTTAATCCTTTAACGTATGAAGCAGTTATTCATTGAGTTCAAGCTTTTATTTAATTTTATTTCTTTTCACACTTATTAAAAAAATATACGAAATTATGAGTTATCAGGAGATTATCAAATTACAGAAGTTAATACAAATGAATCTTGATTCGAAGCGTTATTTATTTATTGTTTTTAATGATGTATGACTAACAAACAATTAAAAAACTCAATGAATAACAACTACATAAACTTATTTCGAATCAGTAGATGCTTTAAGCTTTATGTATCAATGGTTTTGTTACCTTGATCATTTTAACAAATGACATTTTTGTGTCATCAATAATCTTGACATTCTCAGGATTTCTTACTAAAATATGCATTGGATTTGCAAAAGCTTGAAGGCAACCACTGACTTCAACATGGGAACATTTTGGGATTTCTAAATCTTTGGTAACCCCAGATACCTTAACTTCCAATTTGTACTCTCCGTCTGTAATTGAGCCTACTAAAGTGTCGTTCCAACTTTCCTTCTTCTTTAGCAAAGCAATCTCTGATTTAACGAATCCTCTCACACGAACGTCTTGAGATGACATAGATGTCAAATCTTGAAAAGTAGACAACGGTATAATTGGCTCAGCTTCTTTTGGTTTCTCTTCCGTAATTTTACGAAAATCAAGTACATGTACTTTAGTGTTAGATTGGATTATTAGTTCATAATCAGCCGTTCCAACGTTGTACTTTCCCCGTGGTTTAGGATTTACATAAGCACCATCAATATGTATATTTTGGTTAACTGAAATTTTGGATTGAATAGACCGTGCTTTATCGTTCCAAGCAACTACTTGTAGTTTTTCTCCATTATCATTAGCTAAATAAATTTTAAACAGTAACAATCTTTCAGCACCAACAATTTTTGGCCCTTCAACAGCAGCAACATAACCTATTAACTCACTGAAAAGAAATAAAGTTTTTTAGATAATAAAATTAAGAATGTGACATTGAAATTCGAAAAAAAAATATATTATCATTATTTTAAATTAAACAACTTATTTACCAAGTAGAATCATAGGAGGTTAAGCCTTGAAATTCGGAATAAGCGATCTCTTCGCCATCATTACCATTGGTCTGGTCAGCATTACCATTATCTTTACTACTATCACCTGATTCAGCCACTAAATTATAATTATTTTTACTACTACCACCTGAATTAGCCACTGAAAAAAAAAATAAAAGTTAATATAAATGTATCAAATACATAACAACAGAGGACATGAAAAAATACTTAGCACTTTGCAATTAAATAAAAAAAGTACATATTTTTTTTTTTCAATAACCAAAAAAATTATTTATAAACGAAAAATATTAATCATAATTATTAATAAGTAAATAAGTAATAGATTTATAAGCAATTGACGTACTTTTGTTTTTTATTTAAATCAATCTGACTTGCAGAATTTATATTTTTATCAAAAAAACAATACAATCTGTGAAACGACGCACTTTAGACGTATACTTGTCGAGAAAGAAAGCGGAAGTCTCACGATTTTTCGGTTAGAGAAAAAGATCACGTGTGATTGGTAGTTTGTAATGATACCAACTGAAAATTAAATTTTAAACTTAGCCGACGTTTTTAATTTGTAATTTTTTTTTAATAATTAAAAATATTTTTCAAAAATTGCACTTACAGTTTTTCAAATTTTTTACAAATGAAAATTTGTTTTCATTTTTTTGTAATAATTTTTTCAATAATAAAAAAATCCTTAAAATTTTTAGATGTCGGTTAATATAATTTTCATAATAATTGATTATATTAATTTAAAAATTAAATCATTTTCCATTACACTAAATTAAACATATAGCTCTTTGAAAACGTAATTTTTTACCGCAGAGTTTGATCTTTGATTACCAAGGTAAACTTTAAGAGAATTTTGAGATCTAACTCTTGAGCAAGCAACGTACAAATCGTACAAAATGTCCATGACTAAAAACATCTTTTCGTAAATCGATGCCTATCATCTGAAATGTTTGTCCTTGAGCTTTATTAATTGTCATTGCAAAAGCTAATTTAATTGGAAACTGACGTCTTTTAAACGTAAATGGATAAATGTTTTCACAATATAACGTAATTCGATTTAAAAATATAATTTCACCAGCTTTGTCTCCAGATAAAATTTTACAACGAAGTAAATTATTTCCAAGTTCTAAAATTTGTAATCGAGTACCATTACATAAACCTTCATGAATACTAAGATTTCTTATTAACATAACAACAGAATTTACTCTTAAACTTAATTTGTGAGGTGGGAGATTAGAAGGTGATAGGCTATTCAAGTACTCTGGTAATAAAGCTTCACTCATTGCACCGTTATCATCACAATTCTGAGCACTATCTACACTTGTGTAAATTCTTTCAGTCATTGGATTTAGAAGTTCAACTACTTTTCGATTAATTTCATCAACATCGACATTTCGTGCCGATAATATAGCGCAATTTGCCGCTTGATCAAAATTATTTTGTTTAAATAAATTACCATAAATATCATCAACAATGTCAGCATTCGGAGGAGCTACAAAACACACTGGTAACTCAATATTATCATTTTCATTATTCATAGTTCCGTTGCCAATATCAAGTAAAAATTTTGAGAATTCAATTTCTCCATTTATTACTCGCATATTTTGAGTCAGTGATATTGTTCTAAAACATTTCCATAATGGGCTAAATTTAATAGAAAGATTAATTAATTCAGAACGGGTACTGAACTGTTGAATTGGTAACAATTGCCGAAAATCTCCTCCAAGAATGACGACTTTATTACCGAACGGTGTGTTTTTGTTCGTTATATTGCGTAATAATCGATCCATAACTTCTAACGCATATCTAGGTGCCATTGGAGCTTCATCCCAAATGAAAACATCAGTTTCTAATAGTATTTTAGCTTCCTTCGATTGCATCTTTATATTAGATGTTGAATCAATGAACAATGGTACGGGTAGTCCAAGAGTTTTATGAACAGTGCGACCATGTGGTAATAATGTAGCAGCTATCCCTGTATAAGCCATCATTTGAACTTTTCTTCACGGAAAAAAACGTGCGGTAAATCCAACATCACTTGGAGTTGTCACAGAAACACATGAAAATCATCCGTAAACACACTATAGCGTATATATACTTTAGTCCATCCTGTGGTAAATGCTACTCCAAGTGTAGTTGGATTTACCGCATTTTCTTTTCCGTGTTCCTGCACTTCTTAATAAATGCCATAAAGTAGTATAAATAAATGTTTTCCCCGATCCTCCAGGTCCATCAATGTAGAAATAACGATTTTGATTTGAATTTTCATCACTATGATTAATTAAGTTCAAGACAATATCTACTATTTCTTTTTGTTTTTCATTTAATTTTTCGTATTGTTGTGAACCAATTATATTTGAGTTTTCTGAGTCAATATTTTCAATATTCAATTCACTTATTTCTACAGGATCCATTTCAAAATCTTTTAAATTAAATCCTTCAGCATAAAGCATTGTACTAATCTGTAAATAAGCTTTTTGAATACCTTGTAATGAATTAGAATTTCGTATAAAGTCTTCGGACATGGATACTTTAAACTCTTCCCATAATGTTTTAGGGTGTTTAGGTTGACAATAAATCAAAATACGAATAAATAGTCTACGTAAGCTCTGAGGCATCATCCAAATTTCAGCTTCATGCATAGCTCGTCGCAATTCGTCATCATTTTCAATTAATCCTAATGCTATACAAGCTTCAGTAAAAGATGGCATTAAAACACCATCAACTGTTCGAATATTTTCAAAACTTGTAGCACCTTTGACGGTTAATAATAATAACCTAAGGTTAAACAACTCAATCTGAGTAGGACTTACAGAATACATTCGTCCAATTGAATTAAAATGAGATTTTCTTGGCTCCCATCTAACAGTAGTCGCACCGTCTAATTTTTGTTTTTTTAAAGTGTAATATGTCGGAATATCAGAATAAATATATTATCTAGCTTCTTTGTCACGAAGATTCAATTCAAAATATGCCATTAACATAGTTGTTTTATCCAATAATAATACATTATTCATTTCTTCTTCAGTCATATTAATATCAAGAGTAATTTGTTGTTGATTTGGTAAATGTACAGGTAACCGAACAATGGAATGACTTTTATCTTGTAAATTTTTGCCGAGAATTCGCCATGTAGCTTCAACTGGATTGACATAGCGTGCTTCAATGTAATTTTCAATTTCATTATGATTAATAACTAATCCTTCTGATGGTACTTCACCTACAGTGACTGCTGCACAATCATGTCCTTTATAAACATATTTGAATAAATATTTCACAGATGCTATACTTGATACAACTTCTACATTAATATGACAATTAAATATTTTCAATAGTGTAGGACAATATGGTACAACATTTCGATTATCAACTACGAATCCATTAGGCCTATCATACGATTTTCCAGTATCTCGTCGACGATATGTAGGATAACCGTCTTCTCCCACAGTTGTTTCTTCTTGAAATGACTTCGGAAAATGTTTAGAGCATTTATCATTTACTAAACACCAATTACCACAGGGTCCATGAATCATATTTTTCATGACAACCTCATGTAAAATGGGATCTTCTGTCGGATCTGGAATTTCAGCACTTATAAATTTATCAACAACTTCAGGAGTTGTCATTTTATAATTTGATTTTAATGTAACTAATAAATGAACATGAGGTAGACCTCTTTTTTGAAATTCAATTACATAAACATGAGCTAAAGTATCTCCAAAAAAATTTTTCTTAACAATTAAATCAATTAAATGGTTTTTTTTCAAATTAAAAACTCGTGCACATAAGTCTGGCCTATCTGATGCAGATTGACCTTCCAATAAATTTTCTTTTATTTCTTTCCAATTAGGATTACATGTCATAGTAATAAAGAGATCTGGTTTACCATGTTTTCGGACAATAGCCATAGCATCTTGGTAATTTTGCAACATATTTCGTGGAGATCCTGTGAACGTTGATGGTAATATTATAACTTTACCAATTTGACTATGAGAATCATTTGCTTTATTTTGTAAGTGATCATGAAGTCCTTGATAGGTATCAACACGCAATTGATTTTGATGTTCTTTACAATATATAATTCGATCCTTTTCAATTTTCACATAACTATCAACCAGCCATTGTTGAAATAACCGTCCACCATTTAAAAATACGTTAAAATCACTTCGAACACCCATTCGATATTTGATATACGCTGAGCGACTAACACGTTTATTCGAATTATTTGTTTGCATAATTTTGCTATGCCATCCTGGTGAACCGAAAGGATAAAACAAAGGATAAATCCACGGTTCTACATTTGGATCCATCGTGCTAACTTGTTGTAATTGTTTTGTTCGTCGATTCCGAATACTTACATAAGATTCTGGAATTTCGCCATTAGCATCGGTACTGAAAATCGCTGCAACTTCATTAACCTGCTGTAAATTGAATCTTCGACGATCCATTCCAGGTTTCAATGAAAATAATAACTGCATTTCTGGAATGGTTTGGTTGTTTTGTAAAGCTGCAATCTCTTGCTTTTTTATTTCTTCATGCATCATCTGATAAGAATTTGCAAACTTATTACATGTGCGCATTATGTTATCAATAATTTGTAAAATATTACCATCAAGATTCGAATAATTAGCTAAACGATTTTCATTTGCTTCATTAGAATCTACAATAAACAATTGACCAAAACGTGGAATATCATTTTCTTCAGGATAAAGACTTGTATTGATTTGATAGTAAATTTGGCCTTGGATTTTAAAACAATAAGGTCCAGAACGTCGAGATTGAAAATTAACTAAATTTGCGTTAAAAGATGCAAAAGAAAATGATGAATTATACGCGCGTACTCTGTCATGAAAGTGTTTTGATTGTGGATGAGAATAATCAAACAAAGAACGAAGTTCTTTAGGAAGTTGAGGCAAGGGATCTAAAACAACTTTTCCGTGACTACAACAATCGCTGAATGACGTTCCTTTATTAGATATTTTTTCAGTAGCAAAATGTTTAGCATTACAATGTTTACAAAGTACATCAAATTTACCTATATAATGCTCTGAATTGCCGATTTCAGTATTTGATAGATCTGAACTAACATTATCTCTTTGCTGATAAGAGTGAACATGATCGTAAATAACAGAATTATTAGCATAATCATTAATGGTACAACAATCATTTACGGTTCTACTAAAATTGTCTGAAGATGATCTCAGAGAATCAGTAAAATTCATGTCATTCACAGTCACATCTGAATTTCTATTACTTAAATGAATATTATCTATTTCGACATTTGAACATGAAGGCATGTCAAATAAATTTTGAAGAGTTGAAGAAAAATCATCATTAGAACTTTGACTCAAATTTTGTTTTTGTCTACGATCTCGCATATATTTTGCTTTTTTGGAGCGTTGCAAACGTTTGTACTCTTCTTCTTCTTCAGGAGTACGAATAATTTGTCTTCTCCCCATTACTTATTTTTAATAAAAAATTTAAGTATTATTAAATAGAAAATAAATAAAAAGTCCAGAAATTAAGTTAACTTAAAAGATTTATTGATTAATAATTAATAATACCAACAGTACAGAATTAATCAGAAAGAATAAATTTTTAAACTCAAACAATACATAAAATCAGTGTAAAATTAATAATATGACACACATTAAATTACACCCAGATTACTTTTGAAATACTCTTGAAAATTAAAACAATAAAAAATATAATCTCCTATATATGTGCTCTTAGGTACTTTGATATTCTCTTAGGTACTCTTATGTGCTCTTATGTACTCTTATTATGAAATCATTTCTCTTATTTTTGTTATCTCTTAAAAATTAATTGTCTCTTTAAATTTTCTCTCCAAATTCCAATTGGTTGGCTGAAAAAGAAATACATGATCATCAGTTTTTTAAAATATAATATATATATAATATTCAACTACATCACTTTTTTTTTTCTCATCAAAATAAATTTTACAGTTTTCGTACTTCTAATTAAAAATAAATCAAGTAAATTTTTTTTTTTATGTAAAACTTATTTATTAGAAAATGAAAGAAATAATATATATCATACAAAAAAAAATAAATAAATAATTTATAGACAAATAATACTTACATAACCAAATATTGACGATAAATTGTTATTAGCTTGAATTATATTTTTTAATACACACAATTGACTTATTTTTTTATTAAAAATATAATTCTATTAGGATATTAAATAATAAACAATAACGATGATAACGCTGGTTAAGTTTTACAATTTAATAACAAAAACCTCGAATAAATAAATAAACTGATTCCGTATCATAAACATAAAATAATGCGCCACCTAGATTCGAGATGACAAACAACCAATCGATTATCAAACAATCAATAAATAAGGTTATATAATAATTTTTGTAAATGGTTGTTTACATAAAAATAAAATCCAATAGGCGAAACATTCAATCTTTCATTATTTATTATCATTAAAATAAGGAAAAGTTTATTTTTCAAAATTTATTGAAAATTTTATTTAAAATCATAAATTGAGAAACCAATTTATTGAATAATAATGTTTAATATAATAATTAATATAATAATATTGTAATAAAATAAATAAAATGAACTAAATAATAATAACAACGAAAAAAAAAACTAAATTTGAAAAAAACCGCCAAACCGACCATTTTCATCCACAACAACCGTCATAACGAAAACGGACCAATAACAGACTGAATAAAAAGGTTACGGAAATGACGAAACATCCGACCAACCAACTTTTTAGAAAAGGATATGTTAGAGGGTTGCTCAGTTCCCCCTTCTCCCTACTACTTGATTTACATCAATCGTTCGTTGGCAGGTTTGCGCGGACTAAGGTTATTTTACAAAAGCGCATCGGACTGTGTGTCAAGTGCAACGTTAATATTCATTGTTCGTGTAGATTCTTTGTGCTTATAAGTTAAAAATGTTTGCTTATATTAAAATACTTGGAACAAATGAACTAAAAATTGTGAACGTGAACGAAATCCAGAAGTTCAAGGTAGATGCCTTGCCTACGAAGAAATTTAATATTAAAATTGGTCACAAAACCGAACAATGCACGGTTTCCTTCAAAGCAGGTTAGTTAAAAATATTTCTATATTTTCAAAATGTTATTTTTAGTAAAATTAAACTACAAAATGTTAACTGTAATAACAAATGTTGATTTTATTTTTAGTTTATAATAATTTTAGTCCTATTCATCAGTTTTCAAAAGTTATGAGAATGTATAACGATTTTATGATATTGAGTTCATAATTTATAAAATCTCATCATTTTATTTCGATTTCAAACAATTTCAAGATCTTGTGAGCTCTTTGTCTAAATGCAAAAAATGTTTTGAACTTCTTTTTTCTCAACGAATATGTAATATATAATTTGAGAGCATTGTAAAACATAATTTCTGACAAGAAAAAATAGTAGCATTCAAAATATATTTTTTAATTTACAAAAATTATAAATATATATAAATTTTTAAATTTTTCATAACTAAGCCTGAAATAAAAGAAAATATAATAATTGTTTTAACCATTCAACTACTTCAAATAACTTTCTTTTTTTTTTGTACGAGAGATTTAGACTTATAGTAATAATTTCAGAATTTTTTTAATATATCTTCTCATTCGAATTTTGAAAAGCTATGAGATTCTATTGTACTTCATTTCAATTTAATAATTTATGAGATCCTATGGTATCCTTTGTTTTGAAATAATTTAGTATTGGGATTTCTATTTGTTTTTTTTATTATTAAATACCCCGAATCTTATCATTTAATCACTATCATTTTTATATTTCAATAATTTCAGAAATAATAATATTTTCATAAATTTTTTAATACTTCCTACAACATTCGAATTTTGGAAAGCTATGAGATTCTATCGTACTACATTTTAATTTAATAATTTATGAGATCCTATGATATCCTTTGTTCTTAAATAATTTAGTATTGGGATTTCTATTTGTTTTTTTTTATTATTAAATACCCCGAATCTTATCATTTAATCACTATCATTTTTATATTTCAATAATTTCAGAAATAATAATAATAATAATTTCAGAAATTTTTTGATACTTCCTACAACATTCGAATTTTGGAAGGTTATGAGATTCTATCGTACTTCATTTCAATTTAATAATTTATGAGATCCTATGGTATTCTTTGTTATCAAATAATTTAGTATTGGGATTTCTATTTGTTTTTTTTTTTTTTTTTTTTTTTTTTTTTTTTTTTTTTTATTAAATACTCAGAATTTTATCATTTAATCACTATCATTTTAGCATTTCAATGATTAAAATTACTTCAACTAAAAGAAAAAAAATGTAACACTGAACATGAACTTCTGGACTTATTTTTAATTTTAAATATTTTTTTTTCTTTTTTCCATCTGTCTGAAGAATTAATCGAACATTACTAAAGATGAATTAATGTGACAAAATATATACTAAATTGCAATCTTATGTGTTTGTCAATGCGAATTTATGTAAATTAACTATAAACTTTCCATTTCCATTTTGTCTTTTACTCAAAGTAATTTCAGTATTCTTTCAACAACTAATTTTAATATAGGATTATTTTGTTTTTATATTTACAATTGATGATAGTAATGGTTAGGAATGCAATCATTTGCTTATACTGAAAATTAATTTTTTTTTTTTACAGAAACTGAAGAGGAGTTGCTCAAACTTATAGAGTCAAATCGAGCTAGGTTTCCACCTGCAAATATATGTGTAACTGCTTCTGAGGACGATACCCAAGTCAATAAAGTAGCTAAATCTTCAGACCTCCAAAATACCAATACTCAAGCTTTACTCGCCAAGAAGTTAGCATTAAAGGATAAGGTAATAATAATATTATTTTTCTAATAAATCGCAATATTTATTGGATCTCTAGAATTTACTTCTCATCAAATCAGTATTTTAATTTATCTTTTAAGTTGAAATTTTTTCTTTCCTGATATTTAAATCAATATTTTTTATAATCCATTTCTATTTAATCAATTTTATTATTTATGCAAAACGTAATTTGTGTAAAAGCGATTTTTTTTTATTTTACTTGAACATGTATGTAATTGACATGACTTTAGGTATTGAAAAAAATATTAATTGAACTTAGACTTGGTCTAGAAAATTTTTACAATTACATTAACTCTTATCGTATACGTAGCCAAAGTTGCAATAATTTACTTCTGAAAATTCGTTTTATTTTCAAAAATTTATACGTAACCTTAAGATTAATAGACGGTAACAGCATTAATGTCAATAGTCTACTCATTGATATACGATACACAAACAAACCTCTAAAAGAAAATGATTAGTACAAAGGCCTATAATAATCAAACATTATTGCAGACTTCTCAAATGCGCAAGCGAGCTTACAACCGGTTACTAAATCCTTCTTGTAGCGAGCTATTAGTTAGTCAACGCACAGTTCGAAGGTGGGAAAAAAAAATAAATACCCCTGTTGATCTAAACATTGGTTCATTATTATGAAAATAAATCTAAAGATTAAATACTAACTTATTTTACAATTGATTTTAATTTTCACTTCATAATATTTCAGATTTTGATGTAAATTCATTTGAAAACAGCAATTTGATTCCTGAATCATTTTGTAAACGTGATTTCGAGAACACGGAAAAAATACCCTCAGATAATTCATCCGTGGCAGATGAAGAGACACTTAGCAATGACATAAATAATATCACAAGTATTCTGAGTGAAAGTAGTTCAAGTAGCCAAAATAGTAGTGAAGAAGTTCTCACCGAATATTCTACAGATACTACTATGTATTCTGATTCCGATGACAGCTGGTCTGATACTGATAGTAACTACCAAATGCAGGATAGTATTGTTAATGACACCACACAAAGTTTTAATACTGATTCCTTGCAAGGAAACCGCGAAATGTTCGCAGCTTCTCAGCTTAAAACTTCAGGTGTCCTATTAATGGTTGAAAGTTTTTCTACTTCAAAAAATTTAACGCGAACCGACCACGAAGACTTAATAAACTTAATTAAAGTGCTTGCTGGACCGGAATTTGAAAATTGGAATCCAAGTCAATACAAACTCTCCCAAATTTATGATGCTCCCTCGGATTTAATAATTTTACATTTCTTTTGCGAAAAATGTAATTTAATTCTAACAAGAAAAGATTTAAGCAAAAGTTCGAAAAAAGAAACCTTTAAGTATTCTAATTGTAAAAAAAAATATGTTCTTTCATCGCTCGGTAACAATTATTTCATGACTATTGATATCAAGTATCAATTGCAACAGCTGTTATCAGAACCGAAGATAAATGCCAATCTTTTTCGTTACATTGAAATTATAAAAAATAATATATCCGATGCTGATGTTATTTTCGATGTCCACAGTTCTCTTCTTTATAAACAATTAATGCGCCATATCCCGGGAGTTTTAACGCTAAATTGTAATGTAGATGGCGCACCAATTTTTAATAGTTCAACAGCTAGTTTTTGGCCTCAAAAATTAATAATTAACGAGCTTCCGCCAGAATTACGATTTAAAAATACTATTCTTGGTGGTATTTTCGTTACTCATAAAGAACCGAAACCGAACCTCATGAACTTATATAGTACGGAGTTATGCAATCAAATAGTTTGTTTAATGACGGAAGGGATAAATATTAAAAATATAAGTATAAATCAAACTGTAAATTTAAAGTTTACATTGTTTGCATGTTGTGTAGATTCTGTTGCACGTCCAGTTTGCCAAAATCGTGTTCAATTCAATGCGTATTGGGGATGTAGTTGGTGTTACGCACCTGGAACATATTTCGCAAACTCTATGCGTTATCCTTTGACCGAAAACGATCCAGATTTGCGCACGAATTCGCGTTACAAAGAAGACGTAAAAAATGCTGTCAGGTTGAATAAAAATTATGTTCCCAGAAGAAGAAAAACTTATAAAAGTACTAATTATATTGCAAAAAAAAATAAAAACATGTAATGGAGTGAAAGGCTCGACTCCATTTATAAAATTATTACCATTATTTGATAATGTTTGGGGATATCCTATCGATTATATGCACGGTTGTTTACTCGGTGTTGTTCGTCAATTATGGGCTTTGTGGACTACAGCAGGGACTGATTTTTACTTAACAAAGGATAATCGTGATGAAATTCAAAAACGTTTAGATAATATGAAGCCACCTCACGAAATTCATCGACTTCCAGGATTGATAAAAAATTTTAGTAAATGGAAGGCTTCTCAACTGAAATCTTGGCTGTTGTATTGGAGTCCGATCTGTTTAAATGGCATTTTAAACAAAGAATGTTTTGACTCTTATTTACTGCTTGTACGCAGCATTCATACTCTTCTAAAACGTACAATAACGGAAAGTGAGATTTTACGATCAGAATATGATCTGTTAAAATTCGTTGGAGAGTTCCAGTCAATTTATGGTCTCGGAGCAATGACATTTAATATCCATTCACTTCTTTATTTGGGCGAATCAGTGAGAAGAAGTGGGCCATTATGGGAAACATCCGCATTTCCTTTTGAAAATGGGATCTTTTATGATAAATTGAATGTCAACGGACCAAAAGGTGTCAGTCTTCAAATGAGCCGCAAACGGTTGAAAAAAATTCGACTGCGTTCCAAGATCAACGCTTCAACAACCTCTAATGAATGTGCGAATTACTGTCACAAACTATTTGAGCCTGAAGAAAAGCTAAGAAATTGTGTTGAACTTCCTAATAATATTAGACTTATTGGAGAAAAGCTGAAGACGTCACAAGTTGAGGAAGCTATGAAAAACTACTTACAAAACCAGAACATTGAAATTCATATTTTTTCTAAGTGCATTTATCAACAAAAAATTTTCCATTCCAGTTCATATGCTCGTGCAAATAAGACAAACGATACATTTGTTTTTTTGCAATCAAGACAAATTAGTGAAATCTATCATTTCATTCAAGTTGGTCAAAATTGTTATATTTATGGCCGAAATCATAAATATGGTCCAAGTTCATTTTCAATCATTGTAAATTTAGATCACATATTTGAACTTAATAATAATAATACAGTAGAAATTTTTATAAGTGACATTAATAGTATTCAGGAAAAAATTATATACGTGCACGATGATGATAAGTTTTACGCTTGTTTTTTTCCAAACCTTGTAGAAATTCAATGATTGAAAGAACTTTGTTCCTTTATGTTAACAAAACTTTGTACTGAACTTAATTTTTAATGATAATTATATTAATATTCTAAAAAACTTCAAAACTTTTCTTTTCTTTATTTTTATTATTTTTAAGCTAATATATTTTGAACGTATAATACCGGTGTATTAATTAATTAAAAAAAAACTTAATAATGATTAGCAATATTAATTTATGTTAAAGTATGTATTACAATTAAAATGTTGAATATTTTTTCGTTAAAACTTCTTCTTGATCATTGGTTTATTAGGCACGCTTTGAAATGGAAGGCAGGACTAGTCAAAGTACCACAAATGACAAAACTGAAGAATTAAATGATACTTCAAAAGATGATCCACTCATGCATTGCCTCAGTGATTCGACACCGGAAGAATTAATAAACGCTGGGAATAATGCAAGTATGATTAACAGTCATAAATCGACACTTTCTCAATTGAATATTGCCTCTAACGGTTCTTTAAACGTTAATAATGATAATTCTGCAGTTTTTGACTCTCTAACGGCTCCAAAAAAGTCGTCAAGCAAAGTAAGCACATATTTTGTAAGATAAATTATTATTCATTTTTTATGGTTTAATTTATAATTTTTTTTTTTTTTTTATTACAGCGTAAACGGAAAAACAGTAATTCTAAAGAGAACAAAAAAAAAGACAAAAAAGCTAAAATTGCAAAAAAGAATAAGAAGGAGAAGAAAAAGAATGACAATGAATCAATAGACAATGAAAAAAGATTTACAGAAATTGCAGGTATTTCAAAAGAAAGGGAAAGAATGAAAAAAGGTTCTGATTTTTCATCTGATCCAATTACAAAAAGACTAACAGACATAACAAATATAATGAATAAAAGTTTTGCTGACATTAAAAAAACAGTAGCTCAGATAGAGAGTAAATATAGTTCTGAACTTAAGGAATTAAGAGGCTTAGTTCAAATTTTGATAGATAATTGGAATGAATTTAAAAGTATGCCGTCTACTTCATCGTCTCGAGCTTTAGAAGAAAGGACTGGTTTTCCTGAATCTGGGTTTGTTCGACGAAGCGATAATTCTATACATCTAGGAGAAGGGGTTTACATCTCTAAGAAAACGTATGATTCAATTGCGTCCGATGCTACTTCCAATGCTGTTTTTGTGAAAAAAATTATAATGACCCAGTATACTCCCGAAGAAATAATAACTTATAGTGTTAAAGGTGGAAAATCTAATAAAATTAAAATGACGTCTCGCAAACCTGGACTTGATCCAACGATCAGATTAGCCGTGAAAGGTATGAAATTATTAATGGAATTCATATTTTTTATACTCTATTATTGAATTTAATTACAAATTTATAATTAAATATTTTATTTTAGGAATTTTCCGATATTATTTAAGTACCCGTTATACAGATGAAGCTTATATTAACGCCGAAGTTGATAAATGCGATGACCATATCCGCAGAAAAATATCTGATTTAAGAAAAAAAGCGAGACCAGCAAAGGTACCCAAAAGTAAAAAATCCTCGTCTAGTGATGACCCATCTGGCTCTAGTAGTAGCGATTCAGACGACGCGGAACCAAAGAAAAAATCTCGTAACAGAAACGTTTCATCTGGTTCAGATGATTCAGAGAAGGCTGAACCAAAGAAAAAATCTCGTAAAAGTAACGCATCGTCTAGTTCAAATGATTCAGATAACTCTTCTGATCATTCACGTGAAACTACCTCACAATTAGGTGATAAACTCGAATCCAAAGAAAACGAACCTTTGGGAGATGAATAATACATTTGATTTATGATTTCTCTTTTATAATATCGTTCTTAATAATGTTTTATGTTTCTTTAATATTCCTTATATATTTTTTTTCATTTACTAGAATTGAAATTAGTTCTGTCAGAATCAAAAAATTAAAATTATTCTGTTCCATTAACACCTTATACTGTTTAAGCACATTTTAAGGAGGTCCTTTCGCCGCCAATGTAAAATAAAAAATATTAGATTATGAGTAAATTCAATTTTTTTCTAATAGTTAAGGTCCTTATTTATCTAATAGTGAGGTTTAAATTATACTTTACCGGACAAATTTTTGAAAAAATAAAATTTTTAAATGTTAGTATTTGTTCAGAGTCTTACGAGAAAGTCAAACATTTGCAGTATTTCTCGAATTATATACTATCAGTTATGGATTAGATGAAGTAAAAAAAAAAACTAAAAATTAGATTTTCAAAATATTCAGGTTTCTTTTTTTGCAATAAAATATATAAGTTACCGAGATATTTATTGAGAAATTAATAATTAAAAATCACAAAAAATTCTCAAGCAACCTACGTTAAAATGGAGTCAAAACATTTGGCAAAGTTGCGTATCGCGCGAGCTTCAGACCATACAATAAATTCAAACTAATTTATTTATTTACACACTGTTAAAAATTTTTGTAAAATTACAAATCAGTGTATAGCAATGCTAAATAAAATACAATTCATGTAATTTTCCAACACCCTGTCAGGAAATCTACTAAGATGTATTGTAATTTTACAATCTTCTTGTATAAACCTAACACGCATTGTAATATTACAGAAATGTTGGTCAATTTTCAAGAAAAAGCTTTTTAATTTTGCAAACATTATTTGTAATTTGATTCGGCATAATTGTATGTAAAATCATTAAAAAATATTGTAATTTATATTACAATAATCACATAAAAAATTTAAAAAGCTTTTTTTTATTTTTACAATTTTCATTGTAAAATTACACAGTGCAATGTAATGTTACCAGAAAATTTTATTTATATTACACGAATTGTAATTCTACTTCACTGTTTTCTAATTTTAAAAATAATTCTTTTCAATTTTACAAAAATAAGACTGATTTATAAAAAAACAACAATGTCCTAATGTCCTTCATATTTATTTTTACTAATTTTTAGTCTATGGTTGCGTTTATTTGTAATAATAAATTCGAGGCATAATTTATCTTTTATAAATTCTAATATTATGCTCAAACGATCATTTCGAAATCAATATATTTGAATGAGTATATGTTAAACTTTTTCATCAATAAACAGCATAAAATAACACAATTAATGTAAATTATAAATAAGCCCTAATGCTCAATCACCACATAGGATTAGCTTATAAGAATAATAAGATGTTGAATCACCTATCGGTCGTACGCCGTAGGGCGTTAGGTATCGGTCTGGCAAGCAAGCGGCTCGGGTTCGGTTCTTAGTTAGGGTATATATTATTTTCACTTTAAATCATCTGAGTTGAACAAATTAGCTATACGTGAAGATACCAAATCTAGTCAGCGCTTCATAACAAAAAAATGACAACAGATATTAAATCAAATCTTTCTTTTTTATTATTTCAATACAAGTAAAATTCAAGGAAAGTATTGCAATTTTACAAACTTAGCTAATCTAAAAATATTTGTAAAATTACAAAACAGTTTTGTAAAATTAGTAACCTCACTGACCTATATATGTTTTGTAATTTTACTATACCCGATTGTAATTTCAAATAAATGTTTTGCCTATTAGCTTCCAATACATTTCTTGTAAAATTACAATAGAAATTTTTAACAGTACAGAAGACGGAAACATCTACAAGATTACTAAATCTTAAATTAAAAAGTTAGTTTGCGCTATTAATCAAGAGCGCGTAAACTTTTAAAAATATAAAGTTAAGCCCCATTATCAGTTTTTAGTTAAAGTACATTACAATATAGCAAATACAAGTTATTTGCCGTGATATTTTTAGACAGGTACTTTGTCTTGGATAGTTCCATCACCGTCTCGAGCCAACAGAACTAAAAGACTCGAGACAGCTACTTATTTTTATTTATATTTTTACTCTAGCTCTCCTCTGAAACAACATTTTTTCTCCTTTCATTTTTATCTTGTTCATTTTTAAAAAGTTTTGTTCTATTCATCTTGTTCTTCCGAAGCAGAACCTCTGCTATACCTATAACCTTCCACCTTCTTTAAAATGATCCTTTTATTTCCTGTCTATATAACTTCAGTCTCTTTTAGAGTTTTCTTGCCCAGTTTATTTTACACTCCAGCACATGGTTCACTCTACTGTACTCTGCTCTTCCTCTTCCTCTTCCTCTTTACTCTTTTATACGACGTCATATCAATGATAGGACAGTATTGCTACTGATGGAGATAGAGACACCAGAGATCGAAAACCAACCACCGACTGAGAGGCGAGATAAGATGTATCTAGTTGCCGAAAGGAAAGACCGGTAATAAAGTCTGATAAAATGGAAGAAATAAAAGAACGAGGCTCTTTCTGGTTTATAGGTACCGACATCCAAGCAAAAGAATGACCAACGTCGGTATTTAGAACCAATATTCAACCAAAAGTGCCAAAGTAACAACGAAATTATCGAGTTTTAGCTTTTTAGGATTTTGATAGCCGCCATTTTGAATTTAATCGACCGATTTTATTTATTTTGAAAGACAACTTCAAGAACATCTCAAAGAAGAAGCCTCTTCAGTTTTGTAAACTTCCCTTCAATATTGTGGGTAATATGGCCATTACATTAATTTTTGAAAATGAGAGATGATCAATTTTAAAACTATTGAGAGCGTTATTTATTTTTTTTATGGTTCAGATTGTACTGGAGCAACACTAGCGCTTATATCTGTAGATATGAATAAATAAAGAAGATGTTGTACGTCTATTGAATCACTGCGGAACTATTAATGACACAAGTGTGCATGCTTATAGTGAAACTTGAGTACAGATAGAAAGCCATTAGCGCCTTTGCAATTAAGTGAACACTTTGAGCGTGCACGATACCTTTTCGATATCCGCATAAACTTGATGAGGGTGCTGTAAATTAATTAACTGTAATGGTACATGGTACATTCACCGGTTTCATTACAAGCGCTCAAGCAAAAGGGAATATTATTGGAATTATTTATTAGTTACTTTGTGTACTAATACTGCGCTTTGTTTCTTTGAAGTGTAATAGTCTCTCGACGGGAAAAACATTAAAACAAGAGATAGTTTTTATTTTAAATATTAAATGTCTGCTTCTTCATCAATGCTAACGATACTATTTTTATTATCGTACTCTCATTTTACTTTACAATCAATTTTTTTATCAATTTAAAAAACGTAGTCATAAATTTTTTCTCTTTCAACATTTTAATAATACCCGCCATTTTGAAACTAATCGACCGATTTTGATCAAACTCAAACTTAAGCTCAAAGACACCTCAACGAAGAACTCCCTTCAGTTTCATTAAGATTTCTTCAAAATTGTGGGCAATACGGTCATAGATACTCAAAAAATCGTCTGATTTTTTTTAACCAAAGGTTTTTTTTTTTAACAAACTCGGAATAAACAACAGAACAGACGAATTTTAATTGTAGTAAGAGTATTAACAGTTTAATTCAATAAAACAGATGGAGATAAAGCGATTAGGATGAAATAGAAGCGCAAAAGCAAACAGTTTAATGAATTTGATTTAAATGATGATCTATTAATAGTATTTGCAGATGAATTAAACGGTAAATGTTGTAAACGAAATAAATGGTTGGCAAACAACAACAGTCGACAGGAGAGAAAATACAGAAGATGGAAGATGGAAGATGAAGCTAGATCTGCAACAGCAGCAGCAGCAGCAGCAGCAGCAGCAGCAGCAGCAGCAGCAGCAGCAGCAGCAGCAGCAGCAGCAGCAGCAGCAGCAGCAGCAGCAGCAGCAGCAGCAGCAGCAGCAGCAGCAGCAGCAGCAGCAGCAGCAGCAGCAGCAGCAGCAGCAGCAGCAGCAGCAGCAGCAGCAGCAGCAGCAGCAGCAGCAGCAGCAGCAGCAGCAGCAGCAGCAGCAGCAGCAGCAGCAGCAGCAGCAGCAGCAGCAGCAGCAGCAGCAGCAGCAGCAGCAGCAGCAGCAGCAGCAGCAGCAGCAGCAGCAGCAGCAGCAGCAGCAGCAGCAGCAGCAGCAGCAGCAGCAGCAGCAGCAGCAGCAGCAGCAGCAGCAGCAGCAGCAGCAGCAGCAGCAGCAGCAGCAGCAGCAGCAGCAGCAGCAGCAGCAGCAGCAGAAGGAGCCAGTTAGTTGATACAAGACGATAGTGTTACGGAGGATATACACTGGTATATATTATATACCTTTCAGGTTTGGGGTGGTGGTGTACTGTTATAGTTTGGTACTCGAGCAGTGACAGTAGGAATGTGGAAGCGTAAGTGGGTGCACGATCTGTTGGTAGACCGGGTGTGTGAGTATGTGAGCTCTGGGAGTAAGAGCCGCCAGGGTGAGGGAGTATGGGAGTACAACTAATTAGTAAATAAACAATCAGGCTAACTAACGTCGCCTCGACTAACGGGAACAGGCCGCAAACTGGCGGGCTGTACATTCAGACCACAAATGCTATGTAAAGCCACCGGTGAAACAGACACTGCGAATTCACGGGGCACTAATCGACTCGTTGATACTCTGCTCCTGTATATCTATGGAATCTCCGTGTGTGGATGTGTGAATCTGGGGATGTGTATGCACACAGATCGGTGATGTTGGTACGGACGCTACAGCCAATTTTCGGTAATCATACTCGCTCTACTTATTCGAGTATCAACAGCAGCAACAACATTCAAACCGGGAACTGGCAACCGGGAACCGGCTACATCCGAGTCCTCATCATCATCTGCTATCCTCCACTCTGTGTGCCCTTGAATTACTCTTGTGGTATCCTTAAATAATGTTTGCTCTGCTGATGGATTATTTATTTAGCTATCCAATTAATTAGAGAACTCTCGGTTATTTAATTGTTAATTTA